AAAGATAGTATTCACCATTGAGAAACCCTCCTAAAATAGTATTTACCATTGAGAAACCCTCCTAAAGATAGTATTTACCAATGAGAAACTCTCCTAAAATAGTATTTACCATTGAGAAACTCTCCTAAAGATAGTATTCACCATTGAGAAACCCTCCTAAAGATAGTATTTACCATTGAGAAACCCTCCTAAAGATAGTATTTACCATTGAGAAACTCCTCCTAAAGATAGTATTTACCATTGAGAAACTCTCCTAAAGATAGTATTTACCATTGAGAAACCCTCCTAAAGATAGTATTTACCATTGAGAAACCCTCCTAAAGATAGTATTTACCCAGGAGAGTTTCTCAATTTTAGGAGGGTTTCTCAATGGTAAATACTATCTTTGGTAAATACTATCTTTAGGAGGGTTTCTCAATGGTAAATACTATCTTTAGGAGGGTTTCTCAATGGTAAATACTATCTTTAGGAGAGTTTCTCAATGGTAAATACTATCTTTAGGAGGAGTTTCTCAATGGTAAATACTATCCCCCCCGAGAAACCCTCCTAAAGATAGTATTTACCATTGAGAAACCCTCCTAAAGATAGTATTTACCATTGAGCAACCCTTCTAAAGATAGTATTTACCATTGAGAAACTCTCCTAAAAAGTATCATTCAGTGTTTATTAGTAAAACCAATCTAATGTAACAGTTTATCAGTAAAACCATCCTAATGCTAGTGTTTGTCAGTAAAACCATCCTAAGGCTAGCATTTATCAGTTAAACCATCCTAAGGCTAGTGTTTATCGGTAAAACCATCTTAAAGCTAACATTTATCAGTTAAACCATCCTAAGGCTAGTGTTTATTGGTAAAACCATCTTAAAGTTAACATTTATCAGTAAAACCATCCTAAGGACAGAGTTTAACATCTCAAGTGTTCACGCAAGGTTCAAGGTATTCTTCACAAATCTTCTAGCAATGTTGGTGTTGACTTTCCAAGAATGGATATTTGCAGAATTTGAGAATAATTTATTTAACTTGGCAGTTTCTTTCTGAAGTTTACCTGCTTGCATCTAAGGAACATACATGTGTTTTTTATGGTGTTCCTTCATCACAAAAGATTAGGCATCAAGAAAAATAAACCTATGAATAAACCTGTAACAGATCATTGCTTTATATTTTACCTTATATCTTTTCATACATTCTTTTTTGCTACGGCCAGGAACACACACTGCAATTCTGTCCCAGCGATCAGGAGTGGATGCTGGATAGGTCTTTAAAGCTTGTTCTAGCAGTCGCTGTTCCTCTCCTGTCCAGGGAGCAACTCCTTGCTGCTCTGCTGGAGCTATATGATAGATTTATCAAATAATAAAGCATCATATCTCCCACCATTATGTGAAACACAACAAGGGATTTTATAAACAAGTGTTCATATACTTAGTCAAGCACTAGAATTTTCAAGGGTGAGATGATAAGATTTTAAGAACCAAAAAAGCTATATTTTCTATAAATATAATCATGTACATTTATAATTAACATAACTTCTGGTCAATAAAATATAAAGCTATCAAGTACACCAAAAATTAGGTATCTGCATTAATATTTTAAAATGACACAAAAATAAGCACTATTTATAAACATATTTTTTATATTAAGCTTCAAATAAAGTTTCCCCACTCATGAATTCAGAAAATTAGCTACCAACTTATAAACTTTACAAAATTTTATACTCTTCAGCCTATAACCTTAAGAATAATGCGTGATTAACCTTATAATAAGGTTAAACAACTCTTGGCTAAGAATAAGAAAAACCTAAAATCTTGTTTCCTACAAGTACAGTCAAAATTAGTAAAACAAGTTGCTGAGGCTTGTCAGTCATTATCAATAAAGGAAAAAAGAAATTTTCTTAGTCTCTCCCCAGCTCGTTACAATTAAAAAGTGGCAGAAAGAGTCGATTATGGAGTAATATAAATTTGTAAATGTTTTTCAGGAAAAAGAGTTTTTACTGTCAAAAGTTTCATGTGTTCAAACAAGTGGAAACAAAAAATAAAGTTCATTTTAAGATCTAATACAACATTATATATTTTGTTTTCTTGCACTTTTTAAGACCCGGAAATTTCAAAAACCCCTAACTTTCAAGACTTGTATCCACTTTAACACCATAAACTTTTTTTTTGTTGCCTATAATTTAATCTATTTAATATTTTCTAAACATTTGTCTTTCTCATCTAACTGAAATTTAAAGCTTTATAGTAATATGAAAACATTTAAGTACTACCAACTCCTGAATTTGTAAAAAAGGAAAAAATTATTTAAAAACTTGTTTTAACTCTTACATTTAATTTGACACAACCACACTTATGAAAGTTAAATATGTTTATGTTATTTAAGCTCAGCAGTAACTGCTAGAGTTCACCACATGCTGAGACAAACTTGTCCAGTCAACATGAGGGTGACAGCTATTGTTGACCAAGTCTTTCTTGTATAGTACCAAAAAGAGAAAAACTCATTTCAAATAACTTTCTATTTAATATTCTAAAGCAACTCAATTTTTGCTTACAATCAATCACTTTATATTTTCATCCTTTCAGATCACGTAATACATTGCTTTCTATAATACAGTAATCTAATTTCATCAAATTTAATGTTAAAGAATTCTGACTGCTCTTTAATAAAAACTATTTTATTCTTGCTCTGAGAATTCTGTAATCTCACAAAATCATGACACGAAACACTCTTATACTTACATTCAAATCTTTCTGACGGTGCAGATTCATCATTGATAACTGTTGGTTTTTGGGATTTTTCAAGTTTTTCGTAAGCTTTTCGGTTAACTTCTTCTTTCAGATTGGTGTCTGGATTACAAAAATTACAATTTCAATGGAGTATCAACATATATTTGCAGATTTTCTCAGTGTTAACTGAAGTAGTGAACTTATTTTAAAGACTGACCTTGGATTTATTTCAAAGGCTTCTAGCAACTGATTCTTCTTATTCTTTTAAAATAAGTTTGAAAACATTAAATAAAATTATAAAAATTAAATCTGGTGTTTTTATCATTTCACTTGTTAAATTATTTATAAGCTACAAAATTCTCAAAATGAAAAAGTTTTATATCAAAAACATTTGAATCAACGTAGAAAAAAGGACACCTAATGATGCACTTTAAATCTTGCTTTTATACTTTTCCACAAAGAAAACTTACAATTAATGTAACATTTTCGTTACTTTTAATTTATGAACTTTTCTTCACAAAATTATAACTTATGTTTTATGAGAATGGTCTCACCTGGAATACAAACTTTGATGTTTCTAAGGTCATATTTCATACAATTTTCATTTCCGTGAGGTCATTGGAAAATAAAAGTAATATCAGTATAAATTTAAACAGATGACTATTATCATGGTTGGGAGTATAAAAGTTTGTCGGTATTGAAAATGTCTGAGCTTTCATAAACAAATCTTTCACTCTAACTTGGACAAACCGTGTGATCGTCACTGGCAATAAGCATATTGACCGACTCACTGGGCAGATACACCAGTGTGCTACAAAGATGATTTGAATATAAAATAAAACAAACATGAGTGCCAAGAGGAACCAAGTCTAAAAATTAGCTTTTTCAACGGTGGTTCAATTCTATCTAAAACCGACAGTACAGACTTCCATAAAGAACTCTTCCAACTGTGTATTAGGTGATTTTTACACCATCAAAAATTATGTTACAATGATCATACAACCTGCATTTAATGGCTAATAAAGTTTTGCCAAAACAGTGGTTAACATGCATAGTAACATTAGTTAAAATGTACTTAGCTGGAAGTTTTGACATAGTTCCTCATTAATCTTTGTCCGATAAATGAAGCCATTCTTATATATCCACTAGAAGATGAATCAAAACCTCACACTGAAAAATGTTTAATGTTATATAACTGTAAAGGGGTCACTCGATGATTTTTGTTTAATACAAATAAATGCAGTATGAAGACTACAATTATAAATTAAAATTTTTGTGACAAAATATATCACCTTGTTTCTGTAAGTTCTTGGCCTTTGCTAAAACTTCTTTAGCTGTTCTCTGTGTACCAGTTACAGAGTGTTGAGTTACAAAGGCAGCAACAACTTCCCACCTAGGATAAAACAAAACAAGTTACTACATAATGTATCTTATTTCTAGAACACAGAATATCCTGTGAATATTAAAAGCCATTTACTATATGTATATATATCCTGAACAACAACAACAAAAAGTTTGATGTGTATATTAATTGCATTTTTATTTATTAAGGCTACAGGAAAACAAACCTGTCATATCGTTACAATAATAATACATCAGTTAGGTTAAGCCTAACTGGTTCAGTAAATATCTACACCTAAGAGCAGCTGAATATGATTACCTTTAAGCCTAATGAACAAATATAAACATCTTAGAATAGTATACACATATAAGTATAAAAAGGTCTACTTTATGAAATTTGATTAACAGAATACATTACTAATATTAATACAGTATTTTCAACACAACTCTAAGCACACTAAAGTATGGAATATGAGAAACATATTCCAACATAATGTTATGATGTAAAAAGTAACCAGTCTAAGCTTCAGTTACCAACAACATACAAACATGTGTACATGCAAAAAGGCTCAACAACTACACCAAAAATTTAAATAGGAAAAACTTAGTTATCTGGAAAGTTATATCTAAATGAAACTTCAAAATTAGATATTCAATTCTCATTGACCAAGTTCCCTGTGTCCTGTTATGAAAATGTGTCGATGGTTAGTTTCCTGTATCCTGTTATGAGAATATGTAGCTACTTTCACATATTTGCCTTTGCTTAATGCATTGAAATCACAGAACCCTTATTTTTATCTTCAGTTTAATCATTTGCTGATTCTCAACACTACTACTTTCCTTGTTACTAGTCCAAGCAGAGAAGTTTTATTACCATGTCATAACTATTTACCTGCTCCCAGCAGAGAAGTTTTATTACCATGTCATAACTATTTACCTGTTACCTGCTCCCAGTAGAGAAGTTTTATTACCATGTTATTACTATTTACCTGTTCCCAGCAGAGAAGTTTCATTACCATGTCATCACTATTTACCTGTTACCTGCTCCCAGTAGAGAAGTTTTATTACCATGTCATCACTATTTACCTGTTACCTGCTCCCAGTAGAGAAGTTTTATTACCATGTCATCACTATTTACCTGTTACCTGCTCCCAGCAGAGAAGTTTTATTACCGTGTCATCACTATTTACCTGTTACCTGCTCCCAATAGAGAAGTTTTATTACCATGTCATCACTATTTACCTGTTACTCGTCCCAGCAGGAAAGAGGTTGACTGCCTTCACTAATAACTGCAAGTCATCATGAGACCACTGTTTACCACTAACTGATTCAGAACATGTATTAGAAGATTTCTGGACAGCTGCAACTAATTCTTCTTTTTCTTTCGCAATTTGATCATTCAGAGACTTAACCTACAGAAAAAAATCTTTATATTTAAGATGTATAAACTCATCTCAGCTGTTAAATTGTTTGTTTCATTACTATATCAAATACACAGAAGAATTCAGTTTTATAATAGTGAATTATCTTTATACGATCTATGCAAAAACAACACACTAGATAAGCAACTTTTATCATTTACTGTAGTCTTACTTCTGAAAGAAATGCTTCTTTTCCTTGTTGTTCGTCACTTTCCTGAAGCACTTCATTAAGTGCCTGAATTCTGAAAGACAAATAAACAATAGTTTTCATAAATCAATGAATGAAACCTGTGTAAGAAACAAAAAATGTTAAACCCAAAATATAAACATGTAACATACTTCTTTGTTCTTGGTCGTTTAAAATCAAAGCCCTCAGAGCAGAAACAAAATTATAGTATGCACACTAAATTACTAGTTTAGATATATTTACCACTTAGATCTACTTTGTTTTAAATATTCTGTTCTCTGCCTTTTAAGGCAGAATACAAAATGCATTTTTATCATTGTATATAATTTTTTTCTACATATGGTTAAAACAGTAATAAATACTGATGACCATGGTAAAGATCTTTAATGAGAAAACTATGTAGCAACAAGAAGCAAGTGAAATCCCATACTAATTCACACTCAGTGTTTGCAAAATTGCCTGCAAACTACTCTCAAAGTTTTGGAAGTAGCAGAACTAAACGTGGCAGGTAGACGTGGGATGGCCTGGAGATATCCTTATCTATATGACACAGCCCCCTATCCTTATTTATTTGAGGTACGAAGGGGGGCCTGAATCATGTACCCAGGAATGATGGGGGTCTAGAAGTAAGGTCACTGAGCTCATTTCTGGGATTGGGTTCTATTTTGTTCCCTTCAAGATCCCTGGGGCACCATTTTTAAATCTGTGTTCGTACACCCAATCACAAACTTGTTGGACCCAACTTTTCACATATGCTTAGGTATCATGGGTAGGTGCCTAATAGGGGTTTTCTTGGATACAGATGCCCCCTTGGGGTAGCCACAGAAGCAACTGGGGATAATGGAGAAGCTTAGTTGGTACATTGGACTTTATGAATCATGAGGGAGCCTTTGGATAATCCAGCAGAGCACATGTATATGCTAGTGTTTACAATGCCTTAACTTGTTACATGTTCTAGCTACATCACTATTAATTCTATCAATATGGGCTCGTCACTTTCACCAACCTTATAATTACCATGAAAGTCTACACAGTATAACTTGTAATGTAGTAAGTGTATCTTCATGAAATCTGGCAAGATTTTAGTGAATGTTACAAGTCTTTTGCTCACAAAAAATTAGACTTTTTAATTCAGGATATTCACTATATATTTGTCTGTGAATATATGGAGTCTGATTAGTCTGAGTGAAAGGTGATTTTCATGTTAAGAGTAAAAATATCCTTTTCACCTTAAAGTTTCAAATTTCATTTACATAGCTTCAGTAAAGCTTTATATTTTATCTGTTATTTTCTTTACTCCAACACTACATGAACTCAGATGATTTGGCCAACCTTGTAACCACCACAAAAAAATTCAAAATAAAATCTAAGTTACCTTTTTTCTTTCTAGAATAACTGAAGATTGTAACATAAAATTACAATTTATTATCCTAAACAGCTTAAGGCTCATAACAATTATATTGTTCTATTGCTTTATGAACAGCATCTAACTAATAATCCCTTGGTACAAGATGTAAATTAGACAGTAACCGTGTAGCTCAAGTTAAAGTATAGCGTAACACACAAGCTAGTTTTTATTTATGTGAATTATGCATTTAAGAACCCAAACAACATAGCAAACAATGTCCACTAACTAGTATAATTTAGCAGGATTAAATATTTTAAATTAATTGCCATAGGTGCTTGATCTGAACTTGGCAATAGCAAATTTCAATCTCTATGTGAAATAAAATCTCTTTTGGGAAGACAGCATAATACATCATTGGTAAATTAAAACTTTGTCTTTATACTGGTTATAAATGATGTAATAGCAAATGTCAGACAGAATTATTTGTAACTTGTGAATGAGAGGCAAATGGGTCTAACTTTCTAGTTTATAACTCCATAAGTAAAGAAGACTATGCCTCAGTAATATCTACACAATAACAAGTAATTTATGTTAAACTCAGGACATCATTAGAAAATGCATAAGCAGGAGCAAACAAATGTTACATTACACAGACAAGGGAAGATCAAGAATTCATGTACACATTTCCTTTTAAATTTAACAAATTAAAACTTGATGTCTTAACTCTGTTTCGATGCCAAGTTTACTTTTATACATTGTTATTACAGTAATTTAATTACATTTTGAATGTAACTCTGTAAAAAGTTGTGATACATGCACTTTGACATATTTGTATCGAGAAGGTTAAATGAATTTTTTTTTAATTAACTGCAATACAGTGGTTTCTTTATGTCTCAATTGAAACTTGATTTAAATTATTTTTACCAGAAGAAAGCATTTTATAAAGTAGCTTTCTGTAAACACATCAGTATTTGTGGTAATACCTCCAGAGTACTAGATTCTACAGTGTAAAATATAATTCTGTCTTCGTGCATCTCTTTCAGATAGAAAGTATTTTTGTTTCAGATTTAAGCACAAAGCTACAGAGGGCTACTTGCACATAGCCATCTCTGATTTTGAAGTGACATACAACAGGGAAAGCAGCTAGTCCACAGCAAGTCCCCACCACCAACAACTCTTGGGCTACTCTTATCTGATTGAATAATGAAATTTGAAAGTCATTCTTATAGCTCCCCAAAACGTGGAGTGAATTTTTGCAGCCATGAGTCATGATGTTTTTGTTTTTAATTATGCACAAAGCTACACAAGGGCTATCTGTGCTATGCCCACCACGGGTATCAAAACCCTGTTTCTAGCATTGTAAGTCCGCAGACATACCGCTGTGCCACTGGGGGACACCATGAGCCATGAACCATAAATCTTAAGCATGTTAATCACTAGACCAGCACACACACATGGAAAGAAACTTTCTTTGTGTTTGTATTTTAATTAATTTTTTTCACCTTTCTAACGTCAGTAGTTTAGACAGTTTATCTACATTTTGCAGGTTTAACACTCTCTCCTCTTCATTCTCAGCAAAGTAACCATATTTTTCACAAAGCTGTTGCAAAGTCTTTCTTTCCTTTTTTGTCAGCTTTTTTAAAGCCTCTTTTTCTTTCTTCTCTTTCTCCCTCTGAAATAAAACAAATGAAATAATAATTGGAAAACAGTAAAAGAAGCAGTGCATAAATTAATCAGTTACAAAGAAAATCTAAATAAACTGTATACTGCTAAGGGCTTACAACAATATAACTTCTTAAGCAGTATACAATACAGTGGCCAAAACACCTAACTGAGCTTTTCAAATTGGAAAATCTTACTTATACCAACAGCAAACATTGCTGAATAAATTTAATAATAAACTATATAATATTCAGTTCAAAACATACATGAAACAAACCAACTTTAATAAATCATCCAAGAAAGCATGATGAAAAGTAGTTACCTGAAATGCTGCTTTTAAGTAAATTAATTTGTTTTTTTCTGATGTTTCCTTCAAAAAGCTAACAGAATTTAACCTATTTATAGCTTAGTTAGAAGGCATCGTGATATTGAAAGCGACAGTAGAGTCCTATTAGCCTGATGAAAAGTAGTTACCTGAAATGCTGCTTTTGAGTAAATTAATTTGTTTTTTTCTGACATTTCCTCTTTCAACACTATAATTCTGGCTTGGTCAAAGTGTGCATGTCATAATCTTTTAAAAATTTAATTAAATAACTTTATTATCAATGTACATTAATATACTTTACATTAAAACACGGTATATATAATTCAAAGTTTTATATTATCTAAGTTTAAAATTATTAATTTCAAAAGGAAATATTAAAATAAACTCTCAATCTTCACTTTTCTGGATCAAGTGATGCATTGTTTCATTCAATTTTTCTTTATAGATTTTCTCTATTCCTTTTTATTGCTTTCAGTGCCCAGAAAATTAGAAATATAAACTAAGGAATATTGACAGACCAGGATATAAAATGTGAACCTCCCACGTTTCCAAATTCTGAGACAAAAATAAAATTGTTTCACCCATCAGTGAAGTTCCTCCCATCTTATCACAACTTCAGTACAAACAGCAATTTTCTGGTTAACAGAATTTTATTATGGTTATCTCTTTTTGGCAGGCAGATCAACTATGTGTGACTGTTATTGTTCAGCTCCAAAAAGCTAACAGAATTTAACCTATTTATAGCTTAGTTAGAAAGCTAGTTAAATTATAGTAGTTTTGGGACATTCTATTCTTATGCCTAATACATTTTTTTGTGTTCTAAAAGTACATACTTTAGAGCTACACAACTTTTTATTTGAAGAATTAACTTAGTGAAAAACAAAAGTGAGGTCAGATACAATTGCTATTTTCACTTGCAAAGATCACGAGAGCCACACACTTCACTCACAGTGTTTACAAAGTGTACTAATGTACGATTTATTGCTGTTCGACAGAAAGGTTACTGTTCAACCAGATACAAATTACAGCAATAAAACCAAAAAAAATTAAAGAATACAGAGGGTGAAAAGGTTAACAGTTGAACCTGTGAAGACCATTAATCCAGCAAAATGATCCATTCACAGAAGAAAGAAAAAAGTTACTGTATATTTTGTTTCATAATTTTCAACTTTTCATGTCAATGTAGATAGATCATTTTACTTCAGTCACTGTTATAGCAGAGAAAATAATAGATGAAACATAGTTTTATCAAAAAAACTCCTTATATTCAGTTAGGAGGTTCTAGTGAGTCTGCAAATGAAATATAAAAACTGTAAGATGTAAAAAAATATTTTTATTCTTAACATGAAAATCTTGCACTGAGGCTAATTACGGTACGAGTCAGACTAACTCAGTAAAGGCTTTGTAAATTCACCGACAAATCCTCAGTAAAACTACTTTATTAAAAAACCTGATTTGTAGTGTACATCATGAAGGTATTTACAGTAAATTCAGAATTATAGTAAACATTACTATGTACAGGTTCATAGATAAGGGGTCAGTTGGACTGATGCCATTGAAATAGGGTTAACATGTGACTTTGAGTCACACAAGCAACATAAGAAGAACTTTAATCAAACTAGGTTTCAGTTTTGCCAACTCTTAGAAGTTTCATGTTTTGTAAATTGAATAAGTCAAAAAGTAGTTATTGAAATTTAAAATTCATCTCTAGTACATAAAAGGACAGTTTAGTTTCTATGCAATAGTCAAACTGGATATAGTATAAATTATTACATTTTTATAATTTTATTACACTTTATATTATTTTATACATAATTACTATGTAAGAAACAATCACAGTTTATTGTTCACAACAGCAACTAATCTTTACACATCCATTTATTATTAATTTTCAGGAGTAAGACTAAAACAGTATCTTTTGAAATTTAAAAAAAACTAAGTTCTATAGGATATCATACAAAATGTCAATGTCAATGATGTAAATGACCTTCCACAAAAGTATACCTTACAACAAGACAAACTCACCTGTAACCTCGCTTCCTCCTCTTCTTTTTCTTTTGCTTTTTTCTCAGCTTCTAAGGTTTCTTGACGTTTCTGTAATGAAGAAATTACTGTCTCAATTTTCAAATAATATTTTGTCGTCTTATTTAAGGATTAAACCTTTTCTTTTAAACTATGTGATATTACCACCATGGTACATCCAGCCTTTGAAATCTATAAACTATATTCTGAGCAAAACTATAATTTAACAGTTTTTAAAACAAACTTTATCCACTTTTATTTTCTATTTGGGCAGGTTAGTTCACAAAAAATGAAGAAATACCAGATATATATCTCTTGCTGAAGACAATGTCACAGTGAGATGTAATATTAAAGTCAACAGAACTACAGAATGCTTTCAGGGGTGGCATAATTTTTTTCATGAATGTGTAATTAAAAATCATGTATATTATAAACATACAATAATTGTATTTATGTTGTATATTATCCTACCAAAAGCCATGGGACACACCTCTGATTGCAGGAAAATTGGTGATGAAGATGAAATATGCAAATAATTTGGCCAATAAACGTGATCAGCAGCTTGCTTGGAAGTCATTTCAAACTTGTATGCTGAACAGCTAACAGAGTTTCAGAGGGGAAGGGAAGTTGGATGTCATTTGGGGAAAATGTCTGTACGTGCTATTGCACAATAATTAAACATTCCCAGGTCGACAATTGGCAATGTGATAAAGAAACAAAAGTCCACAGGTGACAATTAGCCCAAAAAACAACCAGGTAGACATACAATACTGACTGACAGGAGCTGGCGAACTTTGATAAGGCTGGTTACTTGATCTCACCATCAGACCCTAGAGAATCTGTGTTTGGAGATGTAAGCAGCCACAGGCAATCCCATAAATGTTTCCATGACGTGTCGAGAGCTGCATGCCATAAATTTTCACGAAAGAGCTGCAGCCCACAAGCCGTTGATAACCAAAAGCAATGCACACCTACGATTGGCATGGGGCAAGGCACACTGAACTTGGACCATTGATCAATGGAAATCAATCCTGTGTAGCGACAAGTCATGCTATACGCTCTTCCAATCTGATGGACGTGTTTGGGTATGGAGAATGTCTGGAGAATGCTTATTACCTGAGTGTGTTGTCCAAACAGTGAAGTTTGGAGGTGGAAGTATCATTGTCTAGAGGTGTTTCTCATGGTATGGACAAGGTCCACTGGTCGCAGTGCATGAATCCATGAATGCTGTCTTTCATTGATGTTCTGAACAATTCTGCGTGTCCTACATTGTAGCAATTTTATGGTACCAGCCCTTACACCTTTCAACATGATAATGCTCCATGTCACAAGGCAAGGATTGTAAAAGCATGGTTTGAAGAGAATAACATCTTCTGTAGTTCATGTAGACAATATTCAGTTTTATTATAAAATTAATCTCAATATAGTTTTAAGCACTCTTTGAAATTGAATAGCAATTATCAATATATCATGTGAAATAAAATTTAGGCATATTCGCTTTATAATTTAGTCAATTTTCAGAGGACTATTAGTTTGGAACAAGGGAAAAAAAACCATCTCAGGTTTATAATATAGTAAACTACATGGTTTGAAGAGTATTTGCTCCAAATGTGGTGTTGATAAGTTTTGTCAAACATTGGATTCCAATAATTTAAAAAATGGGGCATGATCCTTTTCGTGACTCTTAAAATTCTATAGTAGGGAGGTTTAAAGGGTAACTGGGGAGATTATTTTAGGTAAAAGCTGTTTCCATATTTGGATTTCTTATACTTGAATTAGGGGCAGTGAAAATCTTGGTCCAATTTCAATAAAATTGGGTAAAATTATGAAAATAATTACAATGGCATAGGGTATTTGTGAAAATCCAAAATGGCTGACATGAGCAATTTTTGACCAAATTTGGCTAATATTCAAATGTTTCCATTCCCGGAAGAAGAAAGAATTTTGCAAAAAAAATTTGCAGGTATACTTAACCCATAGATAGGTACCATCAGTTAAAAAATTGGCCAATTCTGGGATGTTGGGTGTCATGCCATTGGTGATTTGACACGGAATGACTCCAAGATGATATAAACCAATGTTCTGCTGTATTTCAAAATCTGTAATGCACACTGGAGGGATTTACACATTTCATATATTTTATATAAATAATGTATGTCATATATTAGTATAGCTGTATAGTTAGTATTATAATTATCTTATGATATTAGAACAATAGTGAAACAATAATAATACTCTATACATTGTTAGAAGCATGTTACGGCAGACTTGAGATATAGAACATTACAAGCAGTTTGATAATTCAACAAATATTCCAATATCAAACAATTGTGTATATTAACCCTGATGAAGCCACAGAGGTGAAACGTTGGTTAATATAAAAGTTCTTTTATAATTATCTGGAGTTTAAAGATAATTTTTTTCTAACCTTTTCATCAAAATAAAACAAACAAAACAAATCTGACCCTTTGCAAAGAGTATAAATCCAAAAAGATTCTGATTAAGAAGTTAGCACACAGGATCACATACACAAGTTGTAATGGTTTTCAAACGAGACCCAAAACTTGAATAATTAACTATTCTTCTTCAGGAGAATAAAGAAGAATAGTGTACTATTTGGAATCCTAAAAGATAATAACAGTAATAGCAATCAAAGAGCACTGTGGATACCTCCTCTCTTTCGAATACAGGAGAGTATCTAGTCATGAAAACAAAGCTGAATAAAGGTCAGAGCCTTGGTACTTAAACCCATAATGACTAAGGTTTATATGACCATTCACCATCAATGGTTGGTTATGAACATGATAGTAATACCTATAAAGTAGTAACCATTAATTTTAGAATGAGAATGCTAAAAGGAATATAATTATCTTGCAAATATTAAAAAAGTAATACTATATTACCCCATGTATATACTATAACGAATTACAATAAAATCAGCCAACCACCATTCACACCACAAATTTTATAGTTAGAAGCTTTTATAATCATCATAGCTGTACATACAATACATATTGCAATATGATGGTCACAATATGGTATATATTACAACAGTAGGTTGATTTGAACATGGTAACAACCTGTGGGACCATTGGTTTATTATGTTTGATTAATGAATTAGCATCTGGCAGACTTGATGTTAAAATTGCAAGCACATTGAGTAGCATATCAATTGTGCTAGTTTCTAACTAAAAACCTGTGAACTCGCATTTTAAGGCAGAGCTCTGTACTACTGAATTGCCAGTGGGGGACATGCTTCCACAGACATTGTTTTGACGGGACCAAGTTTACCTGTACACAAACACACACCAGCATTAGCGGCTAGGGACTGAACATACCAGCTGTATTTTAGACAAATACTATTGTCCTCCTGGGAAAGCTAATACTGACAAGCCAGTGTATATTTGAATTTAAAATACAACGGTCACAATACAAAAAGTGTAGCATGGGGCAAAATACTGTTATATATCAGTTCATTGTTACTGCACTAACAATCATATCACAAATAGTTAAAACGGCTTTAATTAATTAATTTTTAAAAAATATATATTATTACCAAATTAAAACAATGTTTCAGCTGTGAGGTTACCACCTATTTAACTGACTTATAGGAAATCACACTGCTGGATATCAAACTTGCATATTTTATAAACAAAAATTGATTCTAACTTTTTGTTCAAAAAAATAATGGTCAGTATCTTTTGTACTATTAGTGAACTGAATCTTGAAGAAATATGAAGAAGTTAAAGAAAATGTTTGCATGAAATCTAAATTACTAACAGAAATTAAGTCATCAATATAACACAGTAAACTTTAAATTTTTAGAATTAATATGATAATTCAACATAAGGGAGTCCTCAATAACCATGGCACTTGAAATTCTTTTAGGCAGGATTAGAGTAAATTAATCTACGAGACCTTTTTTTTTTTTATTAGCTATATTTTTGTGTGCCAGCAATAACAAGCATTGGACGCACATAGACCTGATTCAATTTTATTACTCATCAGGATCTCTACCAGCCTACCCTAAAATTGAAATTCTTTTTGGCAAGATTAGAGTAAATTAATCTACAAGACTTTAGGTATAGTCAAATACTTCAATCGAAATGGTTTGACCTCTTTGAGTCTAAAACTGTGATTAGATCTCACATTGGTCAAGAGATGACGGAGCTATGAGCTAAAAGTTTGTACTTGAAAAAAACTTGGAACCATTCTATGAGCTGCCATGCCGTGGATAAAAATAAAACATTCATATTAAAATAAACAAAGATTAGTAACAGTAGTGGAATAATTGGCTACCATAGATATACCAATTTGTTGCTTAAACATATTACTGTTAAGTAGAATGTAGTTATTAAAAAATCAAAAATCTAGCCCAGCTAACTAATTTCTTACAAGATTTTAAAACGGTACATTTAAAAGTAAAATAACTACAAACATTTTCAGTGTCTAACTTGTCCTAGTGTAGCTGAATATCAACTACTTATTAACTTTTAATTCTGTTGTTTTAGCTAAGTGGATCAAATTTCTCATCCTTTACATGTAATTCACAATCAAAGAATAGAACTCAGTTGAAATAAAATACTTTCATGTATGTTTTCGGGAGTTAAAATATTTGTATTTAAAAAAATTTAAGATTCTAATATCTGAGAAAGAGGAATATCATATTATGAATGAAAAAATCCTTTACCTTTGTAAATTACATCAATAATTTCTAGATAAAACTGCTGAAAATTTAAGTAAAACAACCTGTAGTAACATTTTTTTTTAAATCTATTAATCTGGCTCTAAAAGAAAGAAATAAATGTGAAAAAAATTAATGTTACTAGATTTTATACTAATAGTGCTTTTTTAACTCAAAAGCATTTTCATTGTTTAAAAGATATATTTTTAACCTGGGTTAAGATAAAATGAAATTTCTTTCAAAATTCATTTTGAATTTGGTTCTACAAATATACATGCTAAAAATACCATTTTTGATCTAATGAAATTTATATTAATCTGACTATATTTGTAAAACCTGTAATTAAAGAAGATTTTTGCTTCATTATTTGCTTTAAAAAAGTATTCGATAATATTCCTGTACATGCTCAATTCATTATAGTCATTTAATAATGTATTTCCAATTAAATCCACAGTTTTCAGTTTTAAACGCAGTAATCCTATTAGATCTTTTATCTATAATTTTAAGATCTTTATTCATAACTTAAAATTAGGTGAAGTTGATAATTATTCTTGTGATTGTACAGAATATATTTTTTTATCCTTTTATTAAACATACAGCGACTGCAAATTATGGAGGATGAAAAAGGTTCCAAATTAGAATTTTAAATAAAATTTATTCAATTTTAAAATCCTTAGAAAAAATGTTGACAATTGTGTATTAAATATGAACAGAACTATTATTTTCCTCCTCATTTCTTCAAAGTTGTTTTCATTACTTTCTTGAATGCTTCTGTCTTATATTAAATTTGATTAATTTGTTTAAACATAAATTAGATAAATCTTTTTTATATTTCAAAAGACAAACTGCTAAACTACTGGAAAAATTTATTAATACCCCTATTGATAAAGCATATAATAATTATTATTTCATTTGGAAAAAGTTTTATGTCCAAATTCATGAATATGTAAACAAAAATTGGTAATTTATATATATTTCAAGTTTCTATAAGAATTAGAATAATTCAGTTAATAAACATCTACTTAAACTTCCATTTACTTATGCAATTACAAAATTACATAAAGTGTCAACAATTAAAACTAAATTTATTATAAATTCTACAAAACTGTATTCTAGTTCCTTGGCTTTATAATTAATAAAATGTTAGATATTTCATGGGTAAAAATAAAACTTAATCCACTAAAGTTTGTTTGTTTTTGTTGTTTTTTAATTTCGCGCAAAGCTACACGAGGGCTATCTGCGTTATCCGTTCCTAATCTAGCAGTGTATGACT